AAGGAAAAAGAAGAGAAAGAAAGAAGGAAGAAGAGAGAAGAGGAGAAAATAGAGGGAAAGCTTGGAATCATCAGAACGACTTCTAGCTTTCGATTAATCAAGGTAAGGGTGTGAAATCTTTTTATCTTACCAATGTGTATGATTATGTATGTGTGTGTGTTTGGATTTGTTAGAGGTTTTCCATCTTTTTCCATTCTAGGGCAGAAATGGATTTAATCGATAGAGTCGATGTTTGAACGGTTAAAATCTGGAATAAATGGTGTAGGTTAGTCGAGGATTGTTAGGCTAAGACTACTGGAATTCGTTGGAATTAAATCGGGTGATTTTGGGAGTTTCGGAGAGTTTTGGATAGTTGGGGCTTTGAACATCACAGATGTTCGCTAGCACCTTCGCTAGGCGAGCAGGTAGCGAGTGTTCGGTGTAGCGAGCTAGTAGCAAATGGTCCCAGACTTGGACAAAATATAATTGACCCTTTTTGCTTGTAGCGAGCGAGGTAGCGAGGGGTTCGCTAGGTGAAGCCCCAGCGAGTAGGTAGCGAAGCCTTACAATAGCTTCTGTTTGCCTTCTCGAGCTTGTTTGCTAGGCGAACAGGTAGCGAGTGTTCGCTAGGAACTCGCTAGGCAAGCAAGCTAGCGAGTGTGACAACATTTTCATTTCCTTGTGTTTTTCCATCCAATGTTGATTGTTTGGTTTGATTTTGTTCAATCCTTATCTGAAATGAATAGTTGTGAGCTGTTGCGATAAGATATGTTGTGTGTAGCCGTATGGCGTGAATCCTAGATTGTGGAATCAATTGTGGAAATGTGGTCTTTTGACAAATATATGCATTGTTTAAATTACTTAAAAGTGCATGATGATTGTGATTGAGTTCGTTGTCGTTGGCGCGATATTGTGAGTGCATATTGATTGTATGCGATTGTATGTGAAGAATGCATGAGAACATATTGTGAATATGTGTGCATTGCTTGATAAATATGATGATGGTATTAAATTGTAAATGCATAATAATTGTATGCGATTGTATGTGAAGGATGCATGAGAATATATTGTGAATATATGTCCATTGCTTGGTAAGTGTGATGATGATGTTGAAAATATGTATATGTGTAAGGTCGTACTCACTGGGGTAGAATGACAAGATGTTGTTCCTAGTGGAGTAATCACTGGGGTAGAATGACAAGATGTTGTTCCTAGTGGAGTAATCACTGGGGTAGAATGAGAAATGTTGTTCCTAGTGAGGTATAGTGACATGGTCGTATACACTGGGGTAGAATGACTGAGATGTCGTTCCTAGTAGAATAATCACCGGGATAGAATAACTGAGACGTTGTTCCTGGTGGGGTACAAACGATGTACCCATAACCCCAAATAGGGATTGGTGTGAATTGATGAGTTTTATATGAGTCACATGGCATAAATATCATTGTTATATGAAAGTATGCTTGTGTGTGAATTGTTGAATTGAGAACTTTGGATATATGCATGATAAATATGCTTGGTGTTATATATATATATATATATATATATATATATATATATATATATATATATATATATATATATATATATATATATATATATATATATATATATGTGTGTGTGTGTGTGTGTGTGTGTGTGTGTGTGTGTGTGTGTGTGTGTGTGTGTGTGTGTGTGTGTGTGTGTGTGTGTGTGTGTGTGTGTGTGTGTGTGTGTGTGTGTGTGTGTGTGTGTGTGTGTGTGTGTGTGTGTGTGTGTGTGTGTGTGTGTGTGTGTGTGTGTGTGTGTGTGTGTGTGTGTGTGTGTGTGTGTGTGTGTGTGTGTGTGTGTGTGTGTGTGTGTGTGTGTGTGTGTGTGTGTGTGTGTGTGTGTGTGTGTGTGTGTGTGTGTGTGTGTGTGTGTGTGTACTTTATGATGAATTGTGATGAATAAACATAATTGTAAATGTTTATGGGCAATGATGGAATTGTGAATATGTATACTGTGATGTATATAAGTGGATTATGATAAAATGTGGTGAGATCGTAGTGTATGCATATTTTTATGTTAATATACATATATGATTATATGCATTGCTATTATGATAATATTTCTCACCCTTCTGCTGGAATGATGTCCTATCTGACATCGTGCAGGTATCGAGAATAGAGCTGCTCGTAGTTGCGTGGTCGTTGTGGGTGTAACTATTTAGTGATTTAATTATATTGGATCGGGTCATACTCTGGTCATGTAACACTGGGATCATTTGGGTTATATTTTAGAGATACATTATGTACTCTATGTTATGTTTTTATATTCATTGGAATATTGTGATGTTGGCCTTAGTGCCTAAGTAATGTTGATTTATGTGATGAACATGAATGTTCTGTTAAGAGAATTATGATATAAATTGAATCCGCTGCTACATGCAAAATGAAACTTTGAAAAGCATGATTATTTATTGAAGTGTTAATGAGCATGACAGGTGGTTTTTGATGTTTGAAAGTTATGTGTGATGCCTTTTTGTGAATGCATGATTATTTACTCTGATTATTCATATATTTTCCGTGGGGTTTAGAAAGGTGTTACAAGTGACACACTGAACACACCAGTTCATACACAATAACCCAAGCAATTATACATCATAAAATTGCTTGACACACAAGGAATCCTAAGACTCCTACACACACGTGAAGAACAAAGTTATGTTCTTCACTTACAAACAACACTCTTCAATCTCTCTCCAGAAGCTCTGCCTATTTGGAGTGATCCTTCTGTTATTTATAGCATCAGACTTGCTTTGGGCCTTTATGGAGAAATTAGGTTTACCCAAGATAACCTCTCTTCATGAAGCTGCGCACGTCCAATTGAGTCAGGGGCATTCCAGGTTATCCTTAGTCGTGCCTGTTATGTCGCCTAAGATAACTGGACTTCCTACAATGTTTCTTGAAGTATAGCCTGAGCTAATAACAGAAAAACTAAAACTGCGCGCCCTGATGTCGTACGATTGATGTCATAACATTCAGTCATGACATTCGGCTTCACTTACTCTTAGCTCTCCCTGCAGAACACTTTTCATGTATGTCATAACATCAGTTGTGACATTCATACATACAACTATGTTTTGCCATAAAATGCAGCCAATCAAAAGCATCTATAATGAGGAAGCTCTATGTGGCTGATATGGAGAAGGCACAATAGGCACATAGTGACATTAAGCAGGTGTCGGTACACAGGACACATGCTTTAAGAGCATACTTTCTTTTTTTGGTTGACACTCGTATTTTATAGACACGAGTGCCACTTATACTAACGTTGCATATTCCTTAAATCTATAGCGGATCCATGAGTACAACTGGGCGACAGCTTGTCTGACCTATTTTTATTCGAAGTTGAGGGGTGAATGTCTATGGAAGATAAAACAGGTCACAAGCAACGTGACATTACTGGTGGTAATAATTCTTGATCCTTAATTTTTTTTTGTCATTTTTATTTCATATTTGCAAAGCCATTGCTAATAATTCTTGATCATTGAATGTTTTTATTTATTTTCATTTCAGGCTTGAATCCTCCAGCACTCCCAGCATATCGCTGGCTGGGTATGTGTGGATGAGTACACTAAAGATATGCCTCATGTTTGTGCTTTTATCCCGCTCAGAAGGAACCAGACAATCAAGCCTTTCGAAGTCTATCTTGACCATTTGGTTGCTTAGAACATGCACTTCAACAACTATGTGAATCACCGTCAGACGCGACTATTTGACGAGATAATATCATACTTCGGATGGTTGGCTTGCGGATCACGTATCATTGCTTCTTATCTGCCTGAGCGCGTCATGCGGCAGTTCGGGTACACCCAGACCATCCATAGACACCTTGTTGTCTCTGCTCCTCCTACCTTGTCTCGTAGACAAATAAAGGAAATATTTGCTGATTATGACAGTCCTTTGGTATCGGAGAAGACACATGCTACCATAACACAGAACAATTGGAGCCACGTCGACGAGTACATCAGGCGGTTCTTCAGGGTGTCACATCCGTACATGGTGTAGACTGCTCCAAGAGATCCGCCAAGACCGACTCATTAGGAGATACTAGAGGAGGAACATACTCAGCTAAATCATACTGATGATGTATTGCCTAGATGTCGCCGCATAATAGAGATTGTGCAGGCTAACATTGACGGGGGTATCTTCCTTGATGGGTCTGTTTCCAGGAGAGTCTTGGATGTCATAGTGGCAGAGGCACATGGGACATTGCTGTACCAGAGACATCGCCGGAGGACGAGGGGATTGATGACCGATGAGGCAGAGAAGGCATAAATGGTAGAAGAGATGTTATCAGGCACACCTAATAGTAATATGTTATTATTTTGTTGTAGTATTATACTCTCTACTTTATTATTACGATTTTACTACATTTTAGATCTTGATTGTACGATATTTTTTACATATGTTGCTATATTATTTTTGACAAACACAATATTAGTCTTTTATTAATTTGTACGTGCACTTTTTTATTCGAGATCGTGCTTCGTACTTCATCTGAAAACAAATACACAACTTATAGAAAAAAAAACCCGTTCTGATACACTTTGGAGATGTATCTTCGAAATATTATCGAAGATGCATCTCCAGAACAATTCAAATATAAATGGTTTTTTTGGGTGACATGTTCTGAATGTTTAAAATGGTTCCAGAGATGTATCTCCGAAATATATCAATGTTTATTCATAAATAGATACATTGAAAAATTTATCTCCGAAATCATAAAACATATATAAATATTCACACGATACATTATAAACATTTAATAACAAATTCTCTTAATTTCTAGTGCAATAACAAATTCTCTTAATTTCTAATAAATAGTTTGTTAAAAATAAATAAATAAATAAATAAATAAATAAATAAATAAATATGTTTCGATAAATAATAAATAATTAGTTTTATAAAAAAGCGGAGTATATCCGAAGTTGGGCATTTGAGGTGCATTGAGAATAAATTAGGAGAGAAAAACAGAGAGAAGCTTGTAAAAGTAAAATGGCAAACAGGTACTGGGTGGTGTCTCTTCCCGTCCAGAACAACAGCTCTTCATCCACAATATGGAACCAATTGCAGCAAAATATCTCCAAGCATTCCTTCGACACTCCTCTTTACAGAGTAACTATTTAACTAGCCATCGCGCTTCACTCTATCTATCAATCTAATTCAGTTGTTAATTCATCGATCTTCTTCTTTCTCTGTCTCTCTTCACCACAGTTCAACATTCCCAATCTCCGCGTCGGAACCCTAGATTCACTCCTCTCACTCAGCGATGATCTCAACAAGGTTAATTTCCGCTTTTCTTTTATTATTATTGTAATTTTACGATCGGTTATTGAAATCGCGTAATTCTCTTTGATTTGATGGATCAATATCTATGTGCAGTCTAACGCTTTCATGGAAGGTGTTTCTCACAAGATCAGGCGCCAGATTGAGGAACTCGAGAGAGTTTCCGGCGTTAATACTGCCGCGCTTACCGTAGATGGAGTTCCTGTTGATTCCTACTTGACTAGGTTTTCTCTCTTTTCACGTTTGATCTATTGATACTGTGTTTTTGTTTGGGCTGAAACTCTGTTATCTGTAATGGATCTAGATTTGTTTGGGATGATGCTAAGTACCCGACTATGTCACCTCTGAAGGAGATCGTGGATGGCATTCATGCTCAAGTCGCAAAGATTGAGGATGATCTCAAGGTTTTTATTTCTCTTCTCGCTCTCTAGTTGATTTCAGATATCTGATAGGGATTCATAAGCACATTATATGTATTTGTCATTCATGGCCTCTTTAGTTCGCTAAATCATTTTTTATGTATGCTAAAGTGAGATAAAATTGCCAAACTATTGTAACTATCTTGCTTACAATATGACTTGAATTTCTTTATGCTGCCAATCTATATGTGATTCATCATTGTGTCTTCTGCAATGAGCGGACAGATCTACAAAAGTTAAGTTACAGGAGACAATATTCATATACAAAACCCCAGCGGGGCCCTAAATATATATGATATTTTGTTTATGAATGCCTGCGAAACAGCTTGAGTGTTTATTTGGATAGCATATTTGTTGGAATTCCTGCCTTCATTGCAGTCTGCCCCTAGTCACCTAAATTGTGGCATTAGAGTTACAGACGTTTCTATTTTGTGTAACTTCCGGTTAGAAGACCTCAGTTTGTCCCAGATGTTGTAGAAGTTGTTGACAAAGTAATGTAGAAGATACAGTCAATTTTTTTTCTCCCCAATGTCTGGGCTGATCTATGAACCTTATTATGTGCTGTTCTGGTCCTCATTTGTGATATTGGTTTCAGCTCAGTCTCGTCTTTAAAAGAATTTCATTTTAGTTTCTGAAGCTGTGCAGGAATTGACTGTCATCCACCTTAGCCATGAATGAGAGACAGCATGCTGCTATCTTAGTGATATCTTCAACCCTAATAAGCTTGGATATAGAAATTTGATGGTTAATACTTAACAGGCAGGTGGAGTTGAAGGGAAAAAATCAAAGCATATAGATTAACTGGATTTTGAGGTGTTAAGAAAGAAAATACATAATTTCACTAGAAAGGTTGGAATTATAAGAATTAAGCATAGAAAAGTTCCTTTAATGTAAGGAAAAAATACCTTTATTGATTAAAGGGGAGTGGATCTTCTCAGGTGGGTAAAAAATGAGTGGGTCTGGTTTTTAATCCTAACTATTCAACTCCCTATCTCCCGTTTTCAAACTCATTCTCTCATTCAAAATATTAGACGGGGTCGCATCTAGACGGGGTCGCATCAAAACAACAAAAAAATTAGATAAGGGGCTGGGATTCAACATGAAAAGGAAAAAAAAACATGAAGGGTTGGGATTTATTTAGTTTGGTACTGTCATTTAGATGCTTTTGCTTTTTTTCCAAAACATGATCAGGAGGATACATTTGGTTGACCCTGAGCACTTGGAAATATAGGTTGTATAATAATTTGAGGTGAGTTTTAGTGGTAGTTGTTTTTGTAAATACACGACACATTATTTTTACTTTATTCGCCTAGGTTTCTTCTCCAGCTGTTCCCCGCCCCTTAGGCCTCCTTTCTTGCTAATTGTTCATAATTTCTTTCTTCCCTGCAAAAAAGGTTGAGGAGGGGGAGGGGTTTTAAAATGTCTATTCAAATTGTTTTCCATTAAGAATTTTTTTTCTCTGACTAATATAAGAAAGAACAACATCCCAAGTCTCTACTTATTTTGCATTATGTGGATTGATATTTCTACTTGGGCCTTGAAAATTTATTTTTCATGCCAGGTTCGTGTTTCCGAGTATAATAATATCCGAAGTCAGCTCAATGCTATAAACCGAAAGCAAACTGGAAGGTTTGTGTGTTTTACACCTTATATAGTTTTCAAATTAAATGTTTTCTATTTCTTAGCCGACGTGCTTTATCATTTCAGCTTAGCAGTTCGTGATCTTTCTAACTTGGTAAAACCTGAGGACATTATAAATTCAGAACATTTAACTACCCTCCTTGCCGTTGTTTCCAAGTATTCACAGAAGGATTGGCTCGCAAGCTACGAAACATTGACTAGCTATGTGGTAAGATATAATCTCATATTCACTAGAAAATATGAATACTACTTCTCTGCGGTTATTTTAAATGGTTATTATTAAAAAATCCCTGCCATTCATATACGCACTCCAATAATGTTTTGTTCACACCTTTGAATAATTCTGAGTATGCTTTTGTTTTTCATTACTTTAGTCCTCATTCTAATTAGTTTAAATATTTTAGGTCCCAAGGTCTTCTAAGAAGTTGCATGAGGATAACGAATATGCTCTTTATACTGTAACCCTCTTCAATCGTGTGGCAGACAATTTTAGAACTAGTGCACGGGAAAAAGGGTTCCAAGTAAGTATTTATTTTTATTAATTGTGCATTTACTGTCTTCAATTTTTTTAATATTTGTCATTTCTCTAATGGAATTTGTGAGACACATAGTGCCAAGTGTTTCAGTATTGAATTTTAATTCATAAGTTGGTGGGAGGTGTTTAATGGAATTTTTTGTCCGTATTCAGATTCGTGATTTTGAATACAGTCCAGAAACACATGAGGGCCGAAAGCAGGAGTTGGATAAATTGGTGCAAGATCAAGAAAGTTTGAGGGGTTCTCTGTTGCAATGGTGCTATACCAGTTATGGAGAGGTATTATTCACTTGCTCATTACTTAATTTTGTAGAAATACCCATGAATATATCGAGACCGAGTTTGCAGATCGCTTTAGAAAAAGTAAGGTGGTTATGGGTAACATATGCTAAGTTAAATGACTATTTTCAAAATGGACTACATATACCTTGATGTTTCTGTTTTTGGACTAGCATCTCAGGCTGAGGCTGATATTATGGAGTGATCTAGCTTCTCTTTTAAAATCAAGTAGGGGATGCACACAACATCCGGTTTTACGTACAAATCATAAATACATCCATATCCATTTTTTTTAAATGGATATTTACAATGGTTTGTAGCCGGATACTTTCAAATGGTTGTTGTGGTTATTGTTTTTTAAAATCTAGTTTTGTGAAGTGGATGTCCGTATCCGAATGTCAATATCCATTAAGTGAAAAATCTCTTTTCTCGGACATCTCTCTCAAACAGAAGTTGTTCGCATTTGGTGAAAAGTTCTCCGGAAAATCCTGACAGCTTTCTCTGGCGGTGTATCTATTCCTCTGACAATATCTGCCGACAGCAGTGGGTTGAAGACTGCCCTGATATTACGGTTGGCTTGCTAAACAGGCAGAGCAGAGGCTCGTGCACCGCCGGAAATTCGGTTTTCCGGCGAGGTCTTCTCAAAGAATGAGTTTATAGATTTTTTGCGATTCATGTTCGTTCACAAATTTCATTCCATGACAACTCTCAAATTTCATATCTTCCTAGATCTCATATTTCCACTCTTAGATCTCCATTGCCAACAAGCCCTTCTTTGAGATTAAATTTTAAGAGTGATTTAATATAAAGGACCCAAGCAATGATCTTGCCATCGCCAACAGCACTGCTTGAATTGTTTTGGAAGGCTTGGGTTCCTATTGAATCTAGTGATGATTTTTTTCACCGAGTATATATATATTTTAAAACAATTGAATATTATTCTACTTGATTAAAATTTGTTTTTGAAAAATCTAGTAGAAAATTATTATTGATGTTTTTCTATTATTATTTTTTCCTCGTATTAATTTTGATCTATATACAAATAGAGCCCGGTTCATAAATCTGCTCCTACCTCCTGTGAATGTTATATGAGATTGGTTTTATTCGTTTTTTATTTTAAATCAATCTTAAAACTCGGGTTTGAAAGAGAAATAATTGGTTTTAAGAAACAACTGGTTCTTAAACCTAGAAATAATTGTTTTTCAATTTAGAAATAACCAGTCTTAATATTGATTTGAGAGCATAATTTATTTTAAACCGGATTGGTAAAAATAACAGGTTATGTGACTGTAACCAGATTTATAACCAGTTTGTTGCAAAATGTGGTTATGGTTATGAATCCTAATCCATCTAAGTGGTTTATAAATGGATATGATTTTTAAAATACCCAACTGCGCGCAGCCCTACAATCTAGTAGTTTTAGTAACCATAAAACATCTCCTGTCTTCTCCTACTACTGCTTTGTTATCCTAAAATGCCATGATTCTTGCTGACAACTTCTACTTTATACTTTCTCAAGGTTTTCAGCTCCTGGATGCACTTCTGTGCTGTGCGCTTATTTTCTGAAAGCATTCTGAGATATGGATTGCCGCCAAATTTCTTGGTACTTTACTCTTTTAGAACCGAAGTTCAGTCTCCCCCCTCCCTCTCAAACAATATTTGCTTATTTATCACTGATCATTATTGGGTCTTGTGTTGATTCCAGGCATGCGTCTTAGCTCCATCTGTAAAAGCTGAGAAGAAAGTACGTTCAATCCTTGAAGGGTTGAGTGATAGCTCAAACAGGCAAGTAGCTGATTAATCTCTATGCTTTCTCACATTTACTGTTTCCTTTAAATTTTATAATGTTGTAGTGTCAGTCACTACCATATTTGGTAGTTCTTCAAGTGTCATGAAACCTCTTCTTTGTGTAATTCTTTAAAAGGTTCAAACTCCAAACAAGATTCACATTTTGACAGTTCGGAATGTATATATTTGGTGTTTGAAGCGTGTGCTAATTTAAACTCATTTAAGATTTTATATTTGACAGTACTTAACATAAAAATAAATTTGTTTGCGCTTTGCTTAATATATGTTTCTGTATTATTCAAATCACAAAACATGGTGCTGATCTCTTTGTTGTGACCAATATACAGAACTTACTCTAGAAAATAAGAAGTTATAGTTAGTGTATAGTTATTTGAAAATTTAAAACTCCTATACTTTCTTGATTCTCTAAAAACAATAATTGATTGAGATGCTAGAAAAACAGTTAGCATTCACTCCTTGTTTGTGTAAATATGACATTATTCTACTTTATGTTTGCTGACTCTGCTAAAAAAAATCAATTTGAGAACTCCATTCCCTGTATCATACTTCGGCCGATCTTGCTTCCCGCTTGTCTTTTGATACATACAGACAATATTTATTTATTTCTGTTTTCGTAATTTTTATCTCTTAATTTGATAGACTATTCTTACATGGTAATGTTATACCTTCAATAAATTTGTGTGCAGTGCATACTGGAAAACTGATGAAGAGGTAGGGGCTGGAATGGCTAACCTAGCGGGTGAGGCGGATACACACCCATATGTTTCCTTCACCATCAACCTTCTTTGAGCGCTACTGGAAACAAGCCCTGTCTCTTAATTTAGATCCCCTAGAGGTTATCTTGGACAGCTATAATGCCAAAGCCAGACAGGATTTGAAGATTTTGTACATTACTATCATATTTCATTCTTTGTTATTTATTTATATATAATTGGAGCACTCGAAGTTTCAACAGGTCTAATGAATTTCAAGAGCAGAGTCCGTTGCCAGGATCGTGGCTACTTGTATTGTTTCATGTAAGTTTTCATGTTTGCGATGATGGAACTCGGGAGAACTGATGCTCGCTAGCTCATTTCTTCAGAAAATAATACAAACCATGCGTGAGAAAACTTATGGCGTGCCATAAGTAATAAACCTGTCACTTGGACGCCGTAAACTTTATATTGTGGGGATACTTATGTTACATCACTTTTTATATCGACATAGTCAGAACTATAACCGATAGGTCGGAATTTATTTATGTTATTCAATAAATTTATTGTTTAAACTTATGGGTGTATTTGCATTACTTGTGTGAATCTTTAATATACTTGTCGATTTATCAATATTTAAAGATGGTTGGTTAATCCAAACGGGTTGGAGCATGACATAACCTGTATCAGACATGACGCTTGTTTACAACTTCAGTAATCTTTTTGGAATAACTTAATTGTACAAGACTTGTATCCAACTTGTTGCGTAATATATAATCCTTACTAAATTCCTTAAGAATAGGTAAATGATCTTTTTTCCTTAGATCGGTGTTACCTCTGAGAAAATGGTTTCTTTTAAAACTATTTGTACTTAACCTTTGTTTTTAGTAATGGAAATTTAGTGACTAACTAAACCTTTATATTTTGATTAAGGAACTATTTTATTGGGGTTACTTATTTATTGCTTTTGCGTCAAGCTAAGAAGATCCAAAAAAAGACCAGAAATACACTATAGCTAAGGAGATTCACAAAAGACAAGAAATACACTATTTACAAGTATGCTATTATGAACATTATTGTAATCATTTTTTACAAATGGTTGACACACTTATGATTTATAGGTACCATTACACATGAAGACAAAACACTATAATTTATAAACATGCTTGTGATACATAAATGACACTTGTCTAATTAATCTTTAAAAGTAGACTCTAATTAATCTTTAAAAATAGACTCGTGACTCGGAGATATATTCTGATCGAAGTATTCTTTTGAAAAGTAATCCAGATAAGGAGGTCATTCATACTGTCACATCTCATCCAACATTTTTCTTTAGGTTTCTTTCACGCGTTCTTCAGATGACTTAATTTTTATTGGAGAATCTTGTTTCAGCTGAAGAGCTTGACCCGAGCTTTCTCCAATTTCTCGTATCCTAACCCTTTCACGACTTACGCATATCGTATCAGCTTTGATTTTTCATTGATCATGAAAATTGATAAAGTTGACATAATTCATAAATTCTTTTGTAATTTTTAAACTTGGAGGATAATAATGAACAGTTTCTCATAGATCGACATAATTTCTACAAACAAGGAGTTTAGTTATGAGATATATCTAATATGGCATGTGTAGGAAGAAAAGAGTCTTGAGTTTGCCAACGGCTTCTAGGACTAATTTTCTTTCTTTAACTTCGACTAGGATTGATTTCAATTGATTTCTCCACCATTCGAATGGAGAATATCATTCAAGAATAGTCCAAATTAACGACCTATAATTTTTAAGATCCATTATGTGGTTATACATGGCTTTAGTTCGGACAAGGATATACATAACATATAACTGGTTACATACCAAATATATCATAAATGAGTTTTTGTAAATTTAAAATTTGAGTTTATGATGAATGGTAGAAGAAAAAGTGTGTCTGTGAAGTAAGGAGTATGATCTAGGAGTTTCTTTTTTATAATTTTAGTCATGAAACAAAATAGGTTATTTCAGGCATATTCTTTGAGTTGGGATGGTTAGGAGGGCACATTTAGACCAGGAGGAAGATTGATCATAAGAATCAGGGAAAAAATGTGTTGGGTAGTAATGATCTGGATGAGTTTCATAGATCTAGAGAGCAAATCAGAGATTACATTTGTAGTTCCTTTGATATATTTTACAATAAAATTATATCTGGAAAACCAATATTTGAGTCAAAGAGTTTGAGGAGCTTGAGACATTTTATTTTTAAATTCAAGGATCTTAGAAAAAGAAGAATTATTCATCTGAACTTTAAATTGATAATCTCTTAAGTGCAAGTCAAATTTTTGGATACCCATCTTAACTGCAAGAGCTTCCTTATAAGTGGTGTGATAATGTCTTCCAGCTTCTTTGAATTAATCACTAGCATGACCACAATAATAATTTATTCCACCAACTTCTTATGATTAAAACTGCTTCCCAATAATCATCACCGGTATTAATTTGTTAGATTCTCTTACCATTCCTTGGGATTTCAGGGCAGACAGAGTTTATATGATCTTTTTGAAAGCCTTTATTACTTTAGTTTGCTTGGTTCCCCAAGGTGGTGGTTTTTTCTTGAGTAGTTAAGATAGAAGACTCGTATATCTTGCTAGCTTTGGTAGGAAATATTTGATGTAATTAATTATATCAAGAAATTACTAAATTTGCTTAATGGCGAGATTTTCATCAGGAAAATTTAATAATTCTTGAGCAATATAGGGCAGAGGTTGGTATTTCCCTTAGGAGAAATGCATTCTTAGAAAAAAAATTGTTTGGCCCATTCAACATTTTTTCCCCAGAGCATCATTCCAGGATGTTGGACTATTTGAAGGAATTTGGTCAATAACTGTTTATGAACTTTTTCTTCTTTTGAGAATAATAACACATCGTCAATATAGAGGAGGATACTATTGAGAATAAACTAAAAAATTGTAGTTAGAACCTTTTGAAAAAGAGGTGGAGCTACCCAAATGGTAGCACTATCCATTGGTATTGGGGGTTAGGAATGCAGAACGCTGCCTTGTAACGGTCCTCAGGGTCGATACTCAATTGTCAAATTCCTGACTTAAGGTCAAACTTGGAATAGATTTGGGAATTTTTGATGAAAACATTTAAGGACAAGGCCTTTGAAATGAGAAATTTATCATCTTTGGGAAAATGATTTTGAGGTTTGTAGTCAATTACTAGCCTTCCCCCCCCCCCCCCCCCCCCCCCCCCCCCCCCTCATTTTTTCAGATCTCTTTTCTACATGAAATACTTGGAAAACCCACTTTGATTTAGTGGGTTCTATTAGACCTTGTGTGAGCAACTGATTGCATTCTTTCCTAGCTAGTGTATAGTATGATGAACTCATTTCTGGATGAGTGACCTTGGTTGGATTAATATCTTCATTGAGCTTAAAAGGAAGTTGGACAATTTTTTTTTCATTTTTCCTAAGAGGTTTTGGATGGATGAATTTTCCATGGATGTCTGCATAAAGAAGATTAGTAGTAGTCCAAGACCTTCTTATATACATTTCGATAGTAGTGAATTGTGTGATCTACCACATTAGAAAGTGAGAACAACATCACCAACGGTCAAGATCTCACCAGAGACTATTCAGAGCATTCGAGTATCTTAGGACATGCATAACATCATTACCATCAAACATAGGTACATGATTCAGAGCCTCGCTGTGAAATATTGTTAATCATGTCAGAGACATTTCATGCATCTATTTCAAATGCTAATGATATCCCATTAAGACTCTTCACATACTTCAAATAAGTAGCTTGCCATAATATAACAAGGGTTTGAGGGATAACTGTTATGCATCGTTAGTAAGACGCATAAAAATTGATCCTAGAGCGAACCTCAAGTTGAAAGACATGTACAATAGGTAGACCTTTAGTCTAATCATAAGCAGAAAAATTTGCAATCCAGTACATCAATCACCTTTCAATTCAATCTAATAAATGTTTGCACAACACGTTGCATCACATGTGAGCAATTTCAATCCCTCTTAGTTTATAAAGGTAAAATGCATCATTTCAGATATTAAAATTCATTTTCACTCACACATTACTTTTAATTTATCTCACTGACTTGGACGTCAAAGTGCTAACTTTGCAGTTCAATCCTCTCTCTGTCGCATCTGAAATAGAGCGTTACTGGAATTTTTTTTTTATAATAACCATATATTGAATATTAATTACCAGAATAACCAAGAATTCAAAAAATTGTCCAAAATGGCTAACAATTCAACATGGGGTCGCCATTTGAAATGGTGAATGAGTGCAAACTGGTTTTTGGAGAAATTGAATTCGCCAGATGAAATGGCGAATGAGCTATGTTGGGATTCCATGCGCCAACCAGAATGGCGAATCAGGCAATGGCTAAGATTTCGCATTTACTTTTTGATTCATTTATATTATTATTAGTTTTTAATAAATTTAAATAATTGATTATTAATATTTTATTCTATTTTTTAAATACTTTATTTTAAATACCTTATTTTTAATATTTACACACAGTTTGTGTTTCATAATTAATTGAAATTTAAATAATATTAAGAAAAAATTAGGATATAGAATGTTAAAATAAAATATAGAAATAACAAATTATATTAATTTAGAATCTAATGAAAAGTATAATTACAATTGAACAAAAGAAAAAAACTAATGACCGGCTCTATCCAAGTGATCATCGGTGCCACATTGTGGGGGACACGCATTGCGACGAGGTCTACGACGAGGTTGTTGTGGTGTGTCCGGTCTCTGTGTGTTGAGTTGTGGAGGAGGGTATGGTTGGGACGGCCCCGGCGCATCAGATAGAGTTTGCATCATTTGACCCTAATAGCCGGGAGGTCCACTGTCAACGACGCTTCCGTAGTAAAGCCCGATGCCCATGTTTTTGAAGGATTGCCGGGGAGGTTGGGTGGAGTATGGACGGTATGATTGTCCGAATGTGTACATGGAGTTGGGTTGGTCTAGGTGTGTTGGTTGTTGCGGGGTGTGGTAGTCGAATAATGGATAATTTGGGAGGTCGTTGGAGGGTAGTTGGAGGTGTAGTTGGAGGTGTAGTTGGAGGGGGTAGGGTCAAATGAGT